CAATAATAACATTGCTAAAATATCAAGGAGCAAAATGAGGAATAATTGTAAATTTGAAATTTATATTTGTTTTTTTTTTTTTTCTAGAAGAATCTGAAATGGGTGAAAAAGAAATTGAATATTTAACAAAACCGGAAGAAACAATGATAAAAGCAATGTCCAATGAGACAATAACATTTGCTGAAAGTGTCAATGATACAATAAAACAAATCGAAACCGTTGCAAAACACTGTATGTTATTAATTATGTTAGCTAAATTTATGACAAATACTCAAAAAGGGTACATTTCCTGAAAGAATTTCTGTTTCTGATTTTATTGATTAATGAAAGAGTAGTAATAATATAATTATCTTTCATTCTGTTATATTATTTTTCATTTTTTTCTACTTTACTATGAATAATTAAATGAAATCATAGGTTAAAATAAAATTTAACTCATTTATAATCATTTATATTAAGTGAAATGTTTTTAAAATTTCAAAAAAAAAGCACTATTTTTTAATTTTTTAATGAATAGCTTCTTGTATAGTTTCAATTAACAGTTGAAAAAGTAGTAATATAATTAGCAGTGATCTTTTTTATTTTACTATTTCATTCTCATTTTTTACTTTTCTAACAACGAGTAATGTCATGTATTACTTTTATATATTTGAGTAATCTAGTAAGGTATGAGTAAATATGCACTTTTAAATTATAAATTTTAAAATTAACTTTTAATTGAAAAATGATATAGTGATAGTAATAAAAATGATGTCAAATGTATTTGATATGATAAGAGTAAATGTGCAGTTTTTAACTGAAATAAATTTCAAAATTAACTTTTAATCATTCAAAAATTCACTTTTTATGAATTAATAGATGATAATTGCAAGTTCACATTTTGCAGTGCTTTCTGACGATGAGCAACAGCATATATTATTTAATATATTTAGTAAGGTATGAATAAATGTGCACTTTTAAATTATTAATTTTAAAATTAACTTTTAATTAGAAAATGATAGTGTGATGGTAATAAAAAATGTTATATTGATCAATTTAGTCTGAATTTCCTACTGATAACTGATAATAGTTCATTGGTTGTTTATTTGCTTTAAGGTAGTTTAAATTGCAGCATGAAAATCGAAATTTCATACTTCAGATTGATGCGGTATTGATTCTGGGAGCGGTACTGGCAATTGTTGTTAACTGCGTTATGGCTATAATCGAAATTCGACACTACAGACTATATCAGTCAGCTAAAAGTAAACCTGTAAGATTGGTTTTAACCAAGGAATTCCTAGAGAAAATACGAATTGAGCATTGCAATAGGATGAAATATGGTTTGTAATTTTTTTTAATAAAATTATAAACACATATTAACATTTAAATATCTCTTGAATATTTGAAATATTTAAGATGAAAAATCGTTTTAAATTCAATTTGCTAACTTTAGCAATTCTTTGTATTATTGAATGAAATTGTAATTGTTTACAAAAAGAGGAAAAAAGGATCAATACTTTTGTATTTTATTTTAATTTTATTTAATTTATATTTTTTATTTAATTTGAGTGAATCTATGTTTGTTTTTTCTTTTTTGACTCTAAATTAATCAAAACAGCCTACTTGTACTCTTATAATTTTGCTATGGCTTAATTCGATAGTATAAAACAGTTGAGAAGAATGCATTTAGCAGATAAATATTAATTGATGGACTATTTGGCGCTGTATACTTTTCGGCAAATGATTAACAAAGCATTTAATGTGTAGAAATAGATTATATTTGAATTAGTTAGAATTAATAAAATCAATATTTACTTTATAAGTTATTAAAATTTTTAATGATATTAATTGAAATAAGATTTTCTCTTTTCATTAGTACTCTTATTTATAACCCTGTTCAATAGCCAAATAATTAAATTCGTATTAAACAATAATTTCTGTATTATTATTTTAAAGTTCATTTGCAATTTACTATGAGTGTAAATTTTATTACAACATTTTATCATAACAATTGCGTAACTAATTTCTAAGATTTTCTTTTTTTAGCCGAAAAAAAAGATCAAATGAAGAAATAACAATGCATTTACTATTTAAAACATTTCGTGAAATAATTAAACAGTGTGTGTGAAATGCTTCAAAATATTATTTTATTCATTTTATGAAACAAAATTGAATAAATTTTTTGCTCAAAAAATAGTTTATCCTTTTGAAGATTGAAACAATCCTTAGATAATTAAAAATTATATTAAATGGTTTTTATTCAAAATCGATTTAAATCTTTATCAACATTGACTTTCATTTCTAATTTGCTATTTAAATTGAGTACAAATTTGAATCAATTCGTATTTTTACTTGTTAATATTTCAATCAATAATTCAATAATTATATTTGATAATTTGAATATTATTTTTTATTTTATAACAATAGATTTACACCACACAAAATAATGAGTAAATACACTTTTTACAGTAATTACTCCTACATATATTGTAGCAATTATTAATATTATCATAATTACTACTTTATTAAATTTGGTTATATTTCTAAACAACAAAAAAATAAACACACATATATAATTTTGTTTAGCATTTTGATGGCATTTCACCTTCTTATAATTTATATTTTCTAAAATAATTGACCTAACTTAATTCAAGAAATATTAGAAACAATAATGAATGATATAATATCGAATTAGTTTAAAATTAAAGAAAGGGAAGAATTCGTATTCTACGACAATCGTGCGCTATTAAAATAATATTTTAAATAAAAAAAATCTTTTATAAAATTTAAAATAAATCGTAGATTAATGATTCACAAGAAAAAATACTTAAAAATAAAATAATGAAAGAGATTAATTAATAAATTTCATTAATACTTTCATCTCTGTTACTGAATTGAAATGTACCTTTCTTCGGGAATAAAATATTGAATATAAAATTTGCAGCATATATCTTATTAATTTTTTTCATTTGATAGAATTTAATTTAAAAAAAAGCTATCATCAATAGTGATAATTTCATCAAATACATTTAATCATAAATTCTATCTCTGATTAGAAATTCTGAAACAAATAATAATAATAAAAGTTTTTTAATGATTAATAACAAGAAGATGCAGAACATAAATTAGTAATTATTAAAAATAATTACTTTTTTTAATTAAGAATTTTAAAAAAAAAAAGAAAAAATTATGTCTTCCGATATAAAATTATTTGCAGAATTATTTATTTTTTTTTTAGAATAATTGAAACTTTTCAATATTTGAAATAGTTGACAAAGGGAGTAATAATAGAAAGTCTCGACATATTCATTTAATGTATCTTAGTTGATCAAAATGTTTTCTCACTTGTATGGAATAATACGATTGATTACATGAAATGTTATAAAAGCAAAAGATTGAAGCATTATTTTTCTTTCTCACAAATTTTCATTTTTGAAAATTATTATTATTATTAATAGTTTAATGCTAACATTTTTTTTTATTATTAATTAATAAATGGGAGAAGAAATATAAGTTAGATTTATAAATTAATCAAATAATATTCTAGGAGTGATGAAAGTTTCATATTGGTCAATTGATACGTTTATTCGTTCTTATTCAGTTTTTTTAATTCTTCATGAGTTTTTTTTTTGAAATTTTGAGGGTAAAAATTTGACCACCAAAATCTGATTAGTTCATTTGATGAGGATAAACTATCATTTTCATCATATGAATATCAATAATCAAAATGCTTTATTACATCGAAGTAATATCAATATGTCACTGTTTCAATAAATATTTATATAATACCTTTATACTTTGACCTTTTTGTTTACCGTGCGTATTATTTTAACGTCACCATATAATATTGTTGTGATAACAAATAAATCATTTCGAATTTTCTTTCTTTTTTAATTTTTTGTTTCTCTTGAAAAAAATTACCAATGATTCATATGAGAAGAAACTTTTAATACCTAAGGTTCAAAAGAAAAAAAAAATATAAAAGAAAAGAAAGTTATAATTACTGCCTAAATTTCAAAAAAAAAAAGAAAAAATTAACCACAAATTGTAACCAATATTATAAAATTACATTATTAATATACATAATTTAACAAAAAATATTGGTAATACATATTGTAAAAGTAATATTATAATTGCTAGCATATAGAAATTTACTTCAATCAACCATTTTATTCATATTATATGCTATCAAAGTCATTTATTTAAAAAAGTGTCAAAGTTCACCAATTAAATTTTAAAATAATTTCAAAATTTTCACAAAGCATTCCTCAAAAAAAAAATGGAACAATTTTAAAGTAACAGCAAAAACAAATAATTGCATGCATAATTATATATAATCCATTTAAAATATTTTCCCCCATTTCGTAGTTTATTTTAAACTATCATTTCAACTGTTTTTAATGACAATCTATTCTTGCACGACTAATCGATCGGTTAACCATTAATTTCATCAAATATTTTCATCCTGTCACCATCACCATTAAATGATCAATGATGAATCTTCCTTATTTACAATTATTCAATTCGTTACTTTTGAAATTCTTTCACCTTTCCTCTTAGTCACCATTCTACTCTTCCAACTCCTGTTTTCCTCTCTTTTCAATAAATATTTCTGGTTTACAAGTGAGCTTAGTTTAACGAATTTTTCATTATTTGCAAAAAAAAAAATAATACAAATTCCAATAAAAAATTTTTTGTAACTCCTTAACATCAAATAGTATACCTTAACACTAATACTTATATTTTAATATTTCATGGCATAAAATTTGTCCATAATACTTCTACATTTTCTATTAATTTGATTTTATGACACAATATCTTTCATCCATCCTTGTTTGAGGCTGCATAATAATAATAATAATAATAATAATAATAATAATAATAATAATAATAATAATAATAATAATAATAATAATAATAATAATAATAATAATAATAATAATAATAATAATCGCGGCAAGCCATTATAAGTTGGAAAAAATTAATTTCTTTGATTTATATATTATTATTATTGTAGAAAGATGTTGAATGCTTTATTGCTATGTCTTTTCAATTTCCCCGGTGTATTTGGTGCGTTTGGTGGCTTAATCGGTCGAACGCAAAGTGCGGGTATTGAAGGTACGCTTATGTGTGATGGAAAACCACTTGGTGGTGTTCTTATCAAATTATATGATGATGATAGAGGTTTGTTATCAATCTTTTTCAGCTTCTAACTTTTCATCTTTTTTCGTTATTTAAGTATGAAATTTCTTCATAGCATTAAATTTGTTTATAATGCTTTTAGATATTCTATTAATTTGATTTTATGACATAGTATCTTTTATCTATCTTTGCTTACGACTGTAGAATTAATAAAAATGATAGTGATAATATGAATAATCAGTTTTTCGTCATATTGGTCAACTTGATTATGATTATTATTTATTACGGAAGAAAAAAAAAAGAAAGAAAATGGGAGATTTTATTTACCATAAAATGAAAGTTTTGAGGAATTTAATTTGCTCAATTATTTTGTTGCCAAAATAAATATAAAAGATTTGATGGAGCATTTGTATGGTTTAGCAATTTATATTTTGTTTACATTAATAAAATCACCAGAAATATTAATAATGAAAAATTATAAATGAATTTTTATTTCTTTGTTTTCTACAATATTTATTAAATGATAAGAAAAATTCACTATTGTTTGAATGATTTTATTTTTTGAGATTAATTTATTGTAAGAAGAATATTTCAATATTGCATGCACATAAATTTGTTTCGATTGATAGTTAAATTTTAAATATTAAAATTTTTTGATTTTACCAGTAATTGAAATGTATGGATTACCAATAGATTTATCTTCGTTTATTTTCCTAAATTATGATTTGATCAATGATTTAATAATTGATTTTTTCATTTTCATTCTTGTTATATATTTCAAATCATGATAAAAATCGTTTGGCATTAATTGTATGAATGAGTAAGAAGTATGAGTATTAAATTAATAATCATTTGCTTGCTAGCACTGATATTTGTAGGTACTGATACGGACGATCTAATGGCAAAAGGTAGGACAGATAGTAAAGGTCATTTTCGTATTTCGGGTTATACCAATGAAGTGTCAACAATTGATCCGAAACTTAACATTTATCATGATTGTAACGATAATTGGATTGTAATAGTTTGATTTATTTTTAAATTTTTTTTATAATTTTAGATTTACCTCAAATATTTTCAAAAAAGCAGAAATGATATTTGGTCAGATAGATTGGATTTGATAATATTTTTGTAAATAAATACAGATATGCTTGCATTTTTATTTATTATTATTATTTCGTACTATTTATTTTTCTTTTCATCATTTGCTTCCTTTTTTTCTATTAAATTTTAAGTTTTGTCAATTTTTGTACTCAAATTTTAGTTTCATCAAATTTTCATATTTTTTATTTTATCAATCTTCTCAAAGAAAAAAAGTTTTTTCCCACGTTATTACATTAATTTTTTTTTTTGTTTTTTGAGGAGGAAATTGCAATTTTTTTATGGTAGTTTATTAATCATTAGTGGAGAATGAAATTTTAATATTGAAGCTTAAGCTTACTTCGATTATAAGTTAAAATTTTATGCCTTTCTTATCTTTATTCAATAATCGTAAGAGTTTAATCAAAATTTAATTTATAAATTGCAGATTAATCCGTCTAAAAAATGTCTTCTGATACTTTCACTGTTTGTTTTTACTATGATGTAGTATTTTATTTTTTTTTTATTCATACTTTATTTAAATTAGTGTTTAACTTAAAAGTTTTCGAATCAGTTCAATGTTTTGTATTCAAATTAAATTGCTATGCAATCAAAATAAATTACACTAAAACTTGAAAAATTTTGCAAAAAAAAGGAAATCAAATTTTTTCAAATAAGCAACAAAGTTTTAACTATTTATCTTCATTCATTAATTAATTGTTAAATTTTTGAACAATTATTTATAATTTCTGCATGATAAATTAATGAATTACATAACAAAAAACAATTGTTTAATTCTAATTTATTTTGTATAATGTTATGGAATTTATAACATTAAATGTTTTACGCCTATTTTTTTACTTTGTAATATTAAATTTCATTTTTTTTTTTCAGCCTTGCCAACGTAAAATTAGCATAATGATACCTGATAGCTATATTAGCAGTGGGAAAGCACCAAAACAATTCTATAATGCTGGAAATATTGAACTTTCGGGTAAATTCAAAGGTGAAACACGTGACTGTATCCATTAAAATTTTTCTTTTGAAATCTGTAAATTGTTTATAGCATTTCTTAATTTTTGTCATATGAAATTTCTCTTTTTGTTGAATTTTTGAAAATGTTTTGTTTAATGTGCAAAAAAAAAGATTTTTTCCTTTGTTTTCGTGTTTCTGTTACTAAACGATAGGATTGAGTAAACCTTAATTTCTTTAATCATTTTTTAATTCTTTAATTAATCAATCATTCAATCGATTTGCTTCTTCATGTTCATTGATCATTTTAAAATTTTAATTTGGTTAATTTAATCTTATCTAATTTTTACATCATATTTTAATTAATTTAAAATGCAATGGATCACATTTTACTTTCTAACATCTATTATTATTATTTTAAAGTCATTCATACGCCGTTGAATTTTCAATCTTTCATTACATTTTTGAATTATATGAAAAATATTAGTCATAACTTTTTGCACAAATTTTTATTACCAACAATTGAAAAAACTTCAAATTTCTTACTTTATTCCTTATTTTTCACAAAAATTTTTGCATTTTACTAACCAATCCTTTCCGATTACTGTAATTGTTTTATTTCGATCACTTAATATATCATTTATTTAATTTTTTTTTCTTGATTATTTACATTTATTGACAGATGCAAAACTGAATTTTCACATATATACAATTAAATATGAATTTTATTAAATTATTCCTCAAACTTACTGAAGGATTTCACAAAGCGTACAATAAATATAAATAATTTATATTGTGGTTCGGATTTAGTAAAATTTAAAAATTCAAAATGTGGAAGTTGGCAAAAAATTTTATGTCAATAACTAAATCATAATTGGCAATACGAAAAAAAGAAAGAAAACAAATTTTTTTAGCTACAAAATATTGTTAAAAAAAAAGGGAAAAAAATTGATATAATTAATTTTGCCCTAATCTAATGTTAATTATTTAACAAATATTATTTTATTAGCTCATTTTTTTAAAATATTTACATGTTTACGATATTAGCAAGCAAATTTTCGAAAAATTTAATGAAAAATAATTTTAACAAATAAACAAATTATAACATTTGTTAAATAACAACTCTCTTCATCTCATTTTTATCATCTATTGCTTCAACTTTCTTAATGTATAATTTTGCTTCAATAATTCAGAAGGAGAGAGAGAGAAAGAGAGAGAGAGGGAGTAAAAAAAACAGGAGCAAGAAAAGAAAGAAAGAAAAAAGAAAACATAGTTTAAGTTATTTTTCATTGCAAATTGAATAAAATTTTAGTTTGAAAACTTTAATTTGGTAAATTATGTAAGCAATACTAATTATTAATCACGCAGCTATTTTTTTTTCATTCTTATTCAAATAAATAAAATCTAAAAATAAAAGAAAAAGGATATAAACAATTTCAAATAAGTTTTATTCAGTTATTACTTAATTTGGTTAATTAAAATTTAATTAGTTTAATTTGAATAATAAGATAATTCTTAATATACAAACTAAATTTAATCATTACTAGTCCTCAACTTTTATTTTCTAATCATAAGCAAAAAAAAAAAAGGAAAATACATGAAATAACATTTGGAAATATGAATTATATTATAATTTTTCACATTGTTTGTAAGTCTTATAGTTATAAATTATTTTATTTTACATATTGATTGATGCTTTTCAATTATAAATTACTTTATTTATACATATTATTTAAAATCTCATATTTTTTTTCTTTTTTTGTCCACAGATCATTTAGAAATATATTTATGAATTAATTAGTTTTAGATATTATTTCAAAATTTATAATTCGTTAATTTTGAATTAATTTTAGCTATTATATGGAGCTAAACTGAATGTTAACGAAAAGGAAACGATTAAATAATGTATAATTAGAAATTGTGCTCTTTGATTGATTATCAAATCAACAAGATCGAAACTTCTGCTCTAATAGCATTCGTTTATCTTTTCGAAACTCTCATCATTTTAACTTTATTGCTTCATCTTTCTAATGTTTTCCACACTAATATATTTTGTGATTTTTCTTATTCGCTTATTAGTCAATTACTTAAAGTGTTATTAGCACAGCTAATTACTTAAATTGTTATTAGCACAGCTAATTTCATTGACATTATTTAATAAGTAATTATTTTTCATTATCAATAATTTATTATGAATTAATGAGACAGTGACAAAAAAAAAAGGAAATAAAAAACTGTTTGTTTTCGATTAACATTTCAATATAAAAATATGAGCAAAAATCATATTATCGTTGAAAGAATCGGAAATAAAATTAATTTATTATGATTAAAATAAAATCGTTTTTGTTTCAGTTAGTTGATAATATTTAATAGAAAAATGATGTAAAATAAATTATGACATAAATTATTATAATTCATCTGATAAATTAACAACATTAATGAGAATTTTTTTTTATACTCACAATGACAGAAAATTTTTAATTTATCAAAAACAAAAATAAAAACAAAAATGAAAAAAACAGTGAGCATAAAATTAAGATGAATTAATTCATTGTACTATTTCATATAAATATTTTAAAAGTTTTTTGAAATATTAAAATTAACAAATGGAATTTGCAAACTGGAAATTTTAGATAGATCAGTACGAGGCAATTTTTGCTCATATTTTTATTTAAGTAATGAAATAAATTATAATGTAAGCATTAGATGATTTATTTATCAGCTTATTATAACAAAATGTTTGCTATTTTTTTCTTAAATAATTTGCTACTTGTATATAGGTGATAGGCTAATTAAGAGACATTTAGTTAATTAGTTAATTAAGAAAAAATTAATTAATTAATTAAGAAAAATCAGCTGATTAAGTAATGAAAAATTAGTTAATCAGTTAATTAGAGGAAAATTTAGTTGAAAAATTGAATTATGACCGATTTGTTACCAGAAATTCTGCTGAAAGATTATGATACGACAAATTTTGCTATTGACAACATTCCTAATACCATCAATCTATGGAGCAGTTGGTGGTTTAGTTGGACGAACACAAGCTGCAGGTGCTAAAGGTTACCTGACCTGTAATGGACGACCTGAAAGTGGTGTACTAATTAAGCTGTACGATGATGACAGAGGTAACAGTCTAGCAAATGAAAAGATATGTATTAAGAGAAAATTAGTAAATTATTTAAAAAGGAATTAGTAAATCTCTTTTAATATCTCATCAAAACGTAAACAACAAACAAATATGTATTGAATCTTACAGCAATATTATTTGACAGCATAATTTTCTAGATAACGAATTAAATCTTTGGAAACAATAGTAATACCATGTTTTAATTTAAATTGAAAAGATAACATTAACTTTGTTTGTTTACTATTTATTATTTATTTGCAATAATTTTTACAGGTTTGGATTTTGATGATTTTATGGGTGAAACCATTACCGACTCACGTGGATTTTTTGAAATTACTGGAAGTAATGCTGAAATGACACCAATTGATCCTAAAATAAACATTTATCATGACTGTAATGATGGTTGGTGGGTATGTATTAAATTTTCAACTTTGTAAATTTATTAAATCATACAAAAAAAAAGACAAAGAATTAGATACACTATTTTTGGTTGAAGAATTTCTTTCAATGAAGAAAGAAAACGATTTAGAAATTTGAGATTTTTAAAAAATAATGTTTCTTTTTTAAAAAATTTGAAATTATAAAAAAAAAGGTGTGCAGTTATTTATTTAAAGTTTTATAATATATATTTTGAGACGAAAAAAGAGGGAAAGGTTCAATTTTTTTTTTTTCTGATTTAAGATGATTAGTGATATTAAAAAAATGATAAGATAAGGTGAAATAAGGTGTTGCAGCCTTGTCAACGCAAAATCAGTATTATGATACCGGATGAGTATATTGCTATTGGTAATGTACCAACAAAACTTTATGACATTGGAACAATTGAGTTGGCAGGTGAATACAGCGGTGAAACACGTGATTGCATACATTAGAATGTCGATTGTATCATTATCATTTTAATCATATCATTTATTAGATTACTGTTGTAATGATATGATAAAATGAAAGGATTGAGAGAGAGGGAGAGAAAGAAAGAAGTGGATCATTTTATTTTTCAATTGTATGAATTAATTCCATTTAATTTTCCACTGAAGAATAGACCAAAAAATATTCATTCACATTTTATGTAAAAAGTTTGTTCATTTGATATTTTTTGATAAAATAATAAATTAAAGAATTGGAAAAAAGTTTTTTCCAATGAATTATTTGGAAAAAGGAAGAAAAAGTGAGCTTTTCTTATTATTCAAAAGGTAAACTATTTAAAAATAAAATTTTGACAAAAACATTTTCAACAAAATTTATAACTTTATGAACTAATTGAACAAAAAATAAAGAAATAAATTTGAGAAAATATGCTGAATAATTTTAAATTAAAATATGAAGATAAATTTGATATTTATGAATTTAATTAATATACAAATGATAAGGAAAAAAGGATAAAATTCAGTATTGCTAAATTCAGCATTTTTTGTTTCAACAAATTTAAAACCAAAAAAAGGAATAGAAAATGGATGAAAGGAAAAATGAAAAGTATGGAAATATAATTCGTGACGGCGTGACGGCATTTCATATATTTGTTTGAATATGTTCTACCATTAAACATTTATTTTGAGTAAATCGATAATGGAAATAAAATATTTATTGCATTAATATTTTCTTTCATATCATATTATTAAAAACTTAAACAATGAATTGTGATTAACCTGCAAAAAATAAATTCAAAAAGTCATATTGCAATCCAAAATTCTTACAATTTGGTTATAATTTTACTGCTGGAAACATTATTTGACAAATTTTTTATTAAGCAATCCCTTTTTTCATTAAATATAATTTAGTAATTATATGATTAATAGATATAAAATCGCATAGAAGTTTGGAATTAATTTTAGGTTTTAATCAAATTTTACTGTTTCAGTCTGTTTTCAGCAGAAATACATGAGAATCACTGAAGTGGGTTATTCGTACTTATAGATAAGTTCAATTTATTGCAGCA